AGTCAATTAGACATAAATGATCTCGACCATTGATAGTCACATGGACTAGGGGCTCAAGAAACATGCTCTTTTGGCTCAGGGAGTCACCTGTTATAGACTTTCGGCAGCCCTATTGCTGGGGCATCTGGTTGAATCCGGGTGCCTGATGTTGAGCTGGAGGTGTGTATGGTAGTACATTTGTCGCCTGAGCAGGATATGGTCCTGCTTGTCCTTGCGCCTGCTGATAGCGCACTGGACAGTCACGCGCCCAGTGACCTCTTCTGTTACAAATAAGACATCTGTCATCTCTCACAAAATTTCTCCTGTAACCCCTGGATCCATGACCACATGCTCGTGATCTGCCACGGCTCTGAAAGCCACTACTCATGGGTTGTGAGTTCCACGAATAGGGAGGTGGCTGTCCAGGTACAGGTGTCTGTGCATTGTGTACCACGGCAGAGGGCACTAAATACTGTTGTGTAGTGCCCGCTGAAAGCATCTGGTTCTCAGCAACCTTATTTCTATTTACTGTATCTCTCATCTCTTTAAGTTGTGCTTTTGTCAGCTGTGCTTGTAAGGATAAGAGTTCCCTTTCATCTTTTTCTCTATCTTCTTTGTCATTATCAACATATTGGATAATATGCGCAGCCCACTGTTTATAGGGCAGAGTATTTAATGAAACATCAAGGCCAGTGGAACAGTTTTATCAGATTTCACTCTATTGTCATTTGATTTATCACATTTACAGTGTGAAATTATTGGTAAAAGTTAATGTCGGGTAAGATTAGTGACTACTGTTAAGAATGTAAGGGCTCTTAAACACATGATTTAGTGAAATATGCCTCAAATCATCAAATGTGAGTTAGGCCTACCTTGCATTCATCTGCTTTAAATATGCTTTTTTTTTTGGTTTTAGGCCTATGATGTGTTTACCGGTTCCACAGTAACAGGATTGAATGCCACCACAGAGATTGTACTCTCCATCAATCCCTCAGGTGTTGTCATGTGGTACATCTACCCAGAACAGTCCAAGCAGACTGAGACACTCCACTACCAACACAAGAAAACCTCACGATTCACATTCCTATGAGCCTAACCTGATCGCCATACTGCATTATGAAGGAAAAATGCTAAAATGGGGTTTTATAAAATGCATAAAATGTTCACAGGTACAATCAAAACAATGTCAGTTTGATCTCAACTTGTCATTGAACCAATATTCTTTTGCCCTGATGTATTTTTTCATGAAACTAAATAAAGCATCTTGTAATTTTGTATTCATTTTAAATTGCTTTATGGGTGCCTTTTCCTTTAAAATAAATAAAATATTTACTAATTGCACTTTTCTTTTGTATTGTTTGTCCCAGGAAGTAACCTCAAATAACTGTTAAAATTTTGTTTATACAGTATATTGTAACTTATACTAGTGCCTTTTGAGCAGCCCAATGTTTTTTCCAGTCAGATTTGGCGATCCATCTGTGGTAACATTGGCAAGCGCACTCCATAGTAGCTTGTGTCTCTCGATGACCCCCGACACTCTGTCCTCTCCCCGCGTTTTACCCTTTAGGGATTCATGGCCAAAAACTCCTCCGTTATCTCAAAATTGTCATTAATCCCTCTGATAAAAATTAAAATGTTATGGTTAGTCCCCCTCACCAGGAGGGTGAGGGAGACCTGAGGTTGGACTCAAATGTGCTGACCTAGGTGCTAGTAAAAAGAAGGGAGGTTTTAATGGAACAACAAACATGAAGTGACAACATAACAGGGTCCATGTACATACAACAGCAAAGTAGGGCAGGGATGGTGACGAAGACCAGGACGAACAGGTGAGTAGATGGGCTGACGGCAGAGACCAGGAGAGCAGGAGGATGAGGACAGACAGGTGAAAAATAATAGCGAATGTAAAGAATTCCACAGCACAGGGACTGTCAGCGTGGAAATCAAAAAACGCATAACGTGAAAAACT